ATTTTTTGACTTATTGTAGAGATGAGGTCTCGCCAAGTTGCCCAGGTGGTTCTTGAACCTGCGGGCTCAGGCAATCCACTCACCTCAGCCTCCCAAGGCGTGAGATTACAGGCTGAGCCACCGAGCCCGGCTTGCCTGTTTAACTTTTTAAGAAATTGCCAAACTGTTTTCCAAAGTGGTTGTACCATTTTACATCCTTAAAAGTAGTATTTGAGAGTGTCAATTGCTCCACATTTTCATCAATACTCGGTATGTCAGCCTTTTATTTTAGCATTCTAGTAGGTGTATAATAGTATTTTATTGTAGTTTTAATTTGAATTTCCCAATGTCTAATGACATTGAGCATTTTTTCATAAGCTTATTTGCCACCTGTATATCTATGGTGAAATATCTGTCCAAATCACTTGACCATTTAAAAAACTGGGTGATTTATTTTCCTAAACCCAAGTGATGAGAGTTTTTGTTAGGTCAGTGAACCAGTGCTACAGGAATGGCAAAGAACTGCACAGACATTAGAGTAGAAAAGAAAGTTTATTCGGAATGTAGATCAGAAAGAGAGGATGGATCCACCTCTCTGCGATTGGTGGGGGGGCAGAGGCCTAAAGGCTAATGTTTGAGACTAGGGGTTCTTTAAACTTCTTTCGGGGTCAGGAAAGCATTCACAGGAGCTGACGTCATGGTAATGGGATCTGTTTCTCATCTCTCTGACGGCCAGGTGGATGAGGGGCAGTCATGTGCACATAGACAAAGGTGGACTGGTAGCTGGATGGATGAGTTCAGCAAGCACTTGCAGCAAGCGTGGCCTCTGCTGCACTGGGCTCCTGCCATCTTGGCACTCAGTGGCCTGTAGCTTCCCCACAGCACTTCCTCCCCCTCAGGGGTTCAGAGTGCCTCCATGAGACACCTCCTTGATACCCTAAACAGTGGATTTCCAGCAATTCCATAGGCTGCAGCACCACAGCAACTTCTCTGCCTTTCAGTATGCCACACCCATGCCCTCTCCAGCAAGAGGTGGACTGGAAGAGGTCTCTTCCATGGGAGCTCTTTCTCAGTCCCAGATAGAGGCTTTTATATACTATGGGGGATCCAAAAATCCCGTAATTTATTCATTATAAAGTTGTGTATGTATTCTTACATGTTTAAACGTCAGTCATCTTCAATGTACTCTCCATATGATGCAATACGCCTGTCAAGATGCTTTTTCCACTGCTCAAAACAGGTTTTGATTTTTCAATTTTGATGCCTTTTAGGTGCTTCTGCTGTGTTTTGTTTCACCTCTTTCACACAATCAAAACGTTTCTCTTTGAGGACTTATTTCCTCCAGAGAAACAACAACCAAAAAAAGTTGCTTGGAGTGAGGATGGGTGAACAGGAAGGGTGGGGTATGGGGGCCATGCCATTTTTGGTCAGAAACTGCTGAACACTCAGCACAGTGTGGGCAGGTTGTTCGTGTAAATCACCCATCACGAAATGGGCAAATGTGTTGAAAGAATCTCCAGAAAAATATTCACTGAAGCTGAATGCAGCTTCTCACAACAATGTTAGCTGGCACATGGATGCCAGTGGGTTCCTAGATACTTACCTAGCAGGGGAAGCCTGTACTACAAGGGGCCTGACCTCCAAAAGATAATTCCTTTTTTTGTACACACACCCCCGTATTATATCTGCTGTTATTTTTTTTTATTACATCTGTTCTATTAAAAATCTTTTTTGGAGTTCTCTTTTCTTCTTATTAGCCCACGATTAGCAAACCATAGCCTAAAGGCCAAGTCTAGCCCACTGCTTCTTTTTGTAAATAATGTTTTCTTGGAACACAGTCATGCACATCTGTTTACATATTATCCGTGACTGCTTTCACGTTTATAACAACAGAGTTGAGCAGCTGTAACATAGACCAAATGACTCCCAAAGCTTAAATTATTTTTCTTTTCAGAATAAGTTTAACAACCCCTATGCAAGCCAGTCCCTCATCACTTCAATCCCCTGTTATAGTTAATAATGTTTTATTTAAACTTTCCCTGTTCAAATTATTGTGTGGTTTCTCTCTTCTGATTGAACCCAGTCCAATATGTCTGTGGCCCCTTTTTCTCAGTTCATTTTCAGGATTCCCTCTACCCATTTCATAATGTCAGTGTTCCTCAAAGCTGTCCTCTCTGTCACAACTTCTTGAAGCAACTCATCTGCTTACTCATATTCAATGATCGGGTTTTTAATCTCTGTTTTTTGGGGTTTTTTTTTTCTGTAGAGATGAGGTCTCACTATGTTGCCCAGGCTGGTCTCGAACTCTGGCATTAAACAATCCTCCTGCCTAGGTCTCCCAAAATTTATGGATTACAGGCATAAACTACTGTGCCCAACCAATGATCAGATTTAACAAGTGGTTTTTAATCTGGACTCCATGGATGGCTTCAATGTATCCATAAACCACCAGAAATTACATGCAAATCGTGCATGGATATGCAAATGTGCATGCATATGGGTAGAAGGTTTTCAGTTTCATCTTTTAGCATATGGTTCAATAGTTAAGGGCACGACAGATCCTGGATACAACTGCTTAAGTTTGAATCCCAGCTCTGCTACTATGACCTGAGCTAACTTATTTAACCTCATTGTGCCTTAGCTTCCTTGTCTGTAAAATAGGAAAAAATATATTACCTACCTCATAGAGTGGTAATGGGAATTAAGGGTTAATACAGCCAGGCACAGTGGCTCATGCCTGTAATCACAGCAGTTTGGGAGGCAGAGGGAAGAGGATTGCCTGAGCCCAGGGGTTTGAGACTAGCCTGAGCAACTTGCTGAGACCTCATCTCTACAATAAATAAAAAACAATTAGCCGGGCATGGTGGCGCCCACCTGTAGTTCCAGCTACTTGAAAGGCTGAGGTGGAAGGATTACCCATAAGGTTGAGTCTGTTGTGAACTGTGATTGTGCCACTGCACCCTAGTCTGGGGCGACAGAATGAGACTCTGATGAGAGAGAGAGAGAGAGAGAGAGAGAGAGAGAGAGAGAGAATTAATACATTAAAAAGAACTTGGACAGAGTCTGGCATATAGTAAGCCCTATTTAATCACTGGCTATTTTTGCCATTTCTGGCATTACCCCTTAGCCCATGTGTCAGCTAGACCAGTGTTTTCTGTTGTACTAGTGTCGGTGACCAGCACTGACCGAGGGGGATTAGGACCGCACCAGTGAGTCAGAACGGAGAGAAGAAACTACTCAGAGGCAGCTCTTCTGGGAACAGTCTGGCCAAGACTGAAGCCAATTTTATTCAAACTTTTTCCAACTTATATACCATTTTCTATAATCTCCAGCAGTGTGACAATTACTTGCTGGGGGCGTACAAGTTCATTGATGTGTAATGCGCTTTACAAATCATGTACCATCACAAGACTTTTAAGTTCCCAGTGAACAATTACAATTCCATGATGTATGAATCACAGGTGCACAATTTCAATACAGATTGTTCAAAATGTTTTCCACAATGTTCAATAAATCATTCATATTATACTCTATGTTCTAAACCCTGATTAAAAAACTTTCCAAGTTAACTCTAAGTTCAATCCAATTTTACTAACTTTTAATATTTTTAACGATTAATATTATCAACTTACACTATACTATAATCTATAAGTTTACTTAAATGACTTAATTTTATTACCTTAATTTTATACTATTTTATTTTTATAATTCTTATAACCTACTACATTTCTATACTGCCCTATGATTGTATATTAATTACCTATGATTTATCCTTACCTAAATTTTATCACACTTCTATAAATTTCAAATATCTAAACTATTGTCTTTTATACTTTATTAATTACTTATCTTATAATACCATGTCTAAATTCTAATGCAACTATTATCCTACTATAATCTATTACAAACCTTATCATTAGTACTAATAAGTATAAAAATTATGAACTTACTCTATGTTCTATAAAACTTAATTCAATGACATTTTAACCTAAAACCTAAATCTGATTGTCTATTATGTGGAAACTACCTACGTCTCAAAACCTGCCATGCCACTTAAAACAATGAACTGCACAGTTGCCATGACGACAGCCGGGGACTGAAGCAAGCTGAAAGTTACTGCACGTACAAAAACCAAGAACGTTCTGCTTGACCAAAGGCAACATAATAAAACTATTATTACAGTTATAACGTCTAATCTTAACCCCAAGTGAAACTACATACTGGAACAAAAGCTAATCAATCAGTTTACCAGGAAATAACAGCTAAAAATATTAAGAAGAAAAACAGTTTAGAAAGAAGAAGAGATATAAAATAATTCTGCTGTGCATTTTTCATAGGATATAAGATTTTCTTTTAGACTGTCACTTCCTAATATTGAAAATTCTGTTGTCTTATAATACACTGATTACTATTCATATGCACACACTTGATGTTATATCCTTGTCTCAGAGGCGACCTTCTGAATAGGCCTTCATAGGCCTCAGCTGTGTGGTTACAGATGTTGGCTCCCAACATACTAGTGCACACTGCTCTCTGAGCCCTCGGGAGGGGCTCTTTTCTCTGTTCAGAGCACTCTTGCCTGTATGTTGCTTGCCTGTTAACTTCCCTCTGGCCTCTGCCCAAATACTACTTCCTCAAAAGAAGTTGTTCCTGATACCTAGATCAGGAGAGGCCTTCCCACTATAAACTCCCAAAATTTTCTCTGTGTCCCCTCATAACCCTCATTGTGATTTATTTACAGTAGACATTTGTTTAAAGTCTTTCCTGACATCCCATGAGCTCTGGGAGGGCAGAAGTCATCTCTTCCTAGCTTTCTGCTGGACTTCAGCGCACTATAGGAATACCATAAACATTTTTCAAATGGATGAGCGCATGGATAAGGAACAAAACACATGAAAAATCCTATACAAATATTAAGTAACACAATGATGAGAATGTGACAAAATGTGATTACTAGGTCATCTAATGTTAAATTGGTAGGAATATGTACTGTATGAAACCCTCTCCTTTCCAATTGCTATGAAATATATTGGTTCAACTGACCTTGGGGCATGTGTCTTTCAATTAAATGAAAATTATGCAAAAGAACCAAAAAACAGTACTGGGTGTAGTCAGGGAGTCACAGATACCGACTTGTTAAAACATCCTCCACACACTCCCAGGAAATAGGCCTTAGATGAAAGAAACTGAACAGGAACTTACTCATTCCCAGAGAACATGTTCATGGCCTTAATTCAAGACAGGATTAAATACTTCCACGGGGTGGCAAAACCAACTGTGCCAATCTGAGAAGTTCATTGCTACCCTGGGAGTTAATACATAAGTGACCCACATCATCAGCAAAAGTGTATTATCCATTCATATTGAACACATCAGGAAAATCGTGATAGTCACCGTCATAATTCAAAACAGACACAAGGAAGTGATTGTCCTGGGAATGTCCTCAAGAACCTATGGCTTCCTCACCATAGAATGAGGAATCCCCAGGAGGAAGGGTTCACACTCCCTCCACATTACCAACGGTCAGACTCCAACCGCTCCTCTCCTGTGTAATCAGCCTTAGGACAGTTCCTAGATTCCAACATTTGATCTCCAGGAGATGACATGTGGTAACCGCCTAGCCATAATTGGGGAAGAATGAACCCGTGACTAGATTTGAGCCAAGGGAGACAGAGAGAGACCTGGGGGGATTTCACAAGAGCCGCAGGTGGCCAGAGGGCGAGCTGGTAGGGTGATCCCAAGACCTTAGACCCTAGATGGCTTGGGATTGCATCTGGTGCACAGTTGAAACTCCCAGCGTCTGTAGGCGGCCTGCGGCGCCACGATATAGACTACATTTCCCAGAGGGCCTTGCTCTCGGGCGTCGCAACGGGGATGGGGGCGTGTCTAGGAAAGGGAGCCGTAGCGGGCCGCGCAGCCGGGGAACCTTCTGGCGCTGCATGCCGCCGCCGGCAGAGATGGTTGGTCTGCTGCCCCTCCTCCTCCTTCTCCCCGTCTTCCTATACGTGGCTGCGCCCCGGATCAGGTTTGTGCGAATGCATCGACTCCTTTTGCGAAGTCTTTTAGGGGGGAACTTGAAGCTTTTTTGGAAAGCTTCCCCGGGGGGGGGGGCTCCAAGATGGCCGAGGCCCAGGATCGCGTGGATTCGATGGGTTGGTAGTGAGGTCCCGCTGTCCTGTGTGCGGGAGGGCGAGACCCGAGACTCCTGGCGGTGGGAAGGGGCCGCATGCACTGCAGGGCACCCTGCTTTCTCCTGACCCCTTTTTTTAGTCTAAGCACCTTCTAATTCTGGCCCCAGTGAACCCCGAAGACAAGGCTACCTCAAGCGCTTGAGTTTTCAGTTTTGTGGGTTTCAGGCCTTAGAATGGGATATGGCTCGCAAAACGTTTTCTCGTTCACTCCCAC